AATTTCGGGAAGCTAGATAAAATGACAGAAGAGAGAGGCTGAGCTGAAATACAGGAATTCCATGTTGTAGTTTTTTTTCCCCTTCTTTTTTTTAACCCTTCCTGGTCTGGGTTTTAAAACAAATTTTGCTCATAACTTTCTATTTGTGATAAGAAGTGTTTTCCTTGGCACCTGAGGCCGTATGATTATGACGTAGTTGTAAGATTAAAGGCTTTTTTTTTTAATACTGTAGGCTTATTCAGTTTTTAAAGCATAAACACCCTCTGTTGTTCTAAGTTACCCGTGCCTCTCGAGAACTGCTTTGTAAAATAAATCTCTTTGCTTCTGCAGGTGGTACAAGCTTCGCTCCAAGCCAGGGAAAAAGGAAAAGGAGAGAGGGGAGATCGAAGTGGACATCCAGTTCATGAGGAGCAACATGACGGCCAGCATGTTTGATCTGTCCGCGAAAGACAAGGCTCGGTCTCCCTTCGGCAAGCTCAAAGACAAGCTCAAGGGGAAGAGGAGCAGCGCCCTGTCCGACACAGCCTCGGCCGTTGTTCCCAGCGCCACTCACTCCTCCGCTGACAGCGAAGATGAGTCAATCGAGAAGGAGAAGAAGAAGTCAAAGCTCAAAACCCTGTTTTCCAAACCTGGCCTGCACAAGACTTCTCTCTCCCAGTCCATGTCGGTCCTGCCGACGCAGCTGCCTGTCACCGAGAGGGTTCGGCTCCGGCCCGGCGATTTCCAGCCGCAGTGGGATGACGAGGAGTCAGAGACCTCTCCGACCTCCGAGAGTGAGTATTGGTGCTCTGCTCAGGGCGGGCAGGGATGGGGGACCCCGAAAGTGTGGCAGCGGCTGGTACGCTCACGCTCGCCGTGTTTCTGTTGGTGCCGTCCATGGGTGACTCTGAAGCACTGAGGTTGTCGGTAGTGAGCATCAGAGGGAAGGGATGTTCTTGCCTCCTGAATTTCTCCCTGTTTATTTTTTCCAGAAGTGTTTGGAAACGCCCTGGAAGAGACGTCCTCTCCTCCTCCTGTATTTAAATCTCGCAAAACAGCAGCTTTGGACAGCAGGCAGCTAAACCAAGTAACTGCCAACCACACCAAGAAAGAAGGGCTCTCTTTGTTCAGTGGCCTTAAATCCAAAAGCGATCCCGTTTCCAAGTCTAGTCTGTGTATCAATGGCAGCCATGTCTATATGGAAGAGAACACGATGAAGGACAACACTCCAGCCTCTTCCCCCTCTCCTCACAACTTCAGGAGGAAGCAGCTCTTTGCTTCAGAAGAGAACCTGTCTTCCAGATCTACTAAACCACCTGAAGAGACAGGCAGAACATCTCCTGGTCATGCTTTCTCTGGGTCTGCGTCTCTGGAGACTTTTAAATCTATGACTTTGCCATCATACAAATTGCTTAGCAGTGAAGAACACCTGGAAACCAGCGTTCCTCCAACTGTCGAGGTTATTAAAGAGACCAAAAAACCAGACCACAAAAAGTCTACCTTGCTCTCTCTGGTCACAGGGAAGAAGGAAGCAGTGAAGACCAGTGATGCCGAGAATATTCCTGACAGGACCCTGCAGAATGAGGAAAACAAAGTTCCAGAAGAGAAGAGTGATCCAGAGGCCAAGCGTCTGGAACCTCCGGCAGGTTTAAGCAGAGGGAATCCTTCAGAAAACATCTTTGCAAATAAGCAGCCGCTCAACCCTTTCGAGGAAGAGCAGAAACCCGAAAAAGCTGCCGTGCCGGCCAAGACCAAAGCTGTCAAGCCCAGGTCAGTGGCGTTTGCGTCGGAGGTAGCGATGCGCAGCTCGGCCTCCTGCGCGGCACTGGCCTGTTGCCCGGCGGGTCTGAGCTGGCCGTTGGGAGCTTCGTAACAAATAACTCCGAGTTCTTTCTTGGTGTGAAAAAGTGACTGGGATCGTGATGCTCCTTGTGAGTGATGCTGAAACGGTGGTTCTCTGAGTGCAGGCACCTTTACGGGTGTTGTGGGGGCGATTTTTCTTGCTGGATCTCTTGCAAAAACTAACTCGTCTGGGCTGTGGGACTCAAATGTACCCGGGGTCTGAAATACCAGTTCTAACATCTCTGCTTTTCTCTTCTGCGTTTGGCTGTGGTCTTCAAAAGCGTTAATCTTGGATCCCTTCTGCTTTTGGCATTGCTCACAGCAGCACGAGGGACACGTGTGTGAATTTATAGACAAGGCTTTTTCGGAAATTCTGCTCCTTTATCCTTCATATATATATAAAAACTGTGGGTTTTTTTATATATATGAGTGTGTCCTACTAATAAGGCTAGGTTTTTTGTCCGTCTCTAACTCTTTACTTTCAGTGCTTCCCATGTTTAAAGGTCTCACACATGAAGTGTCGTGCATACTAATAAAATTGCTGGGGTGCAAAAGATAAGGTAGTGCTTAGAAGGCAGCCACAGCAGTAACCTCTGTGAGCCCTGCAGCATTCTCACCTAAGCTGAGGGCTTTGTAAAGATGCCACTAAGTATGTGAAGCCTCTCAGGCAGGCTCCGAGGTCTCCTGCAAGTTTAATTCATCTCCAGTGTTAGAGGTTGATGGAGTCTGGTGCTAAAGCTTGACTGTTCCTGCCTCGTGTTGCATCCGCAAGTGACATGCGAGTTTTTTGTCCCTTTTTGCAGACTGGGCGTGTCTTCAGAGGAGGAAACCAAAGCTGCGCTTCCTACTCTTGCACCCGATTCCCTTCCTGCCTTCCTTTCTGTGCACCGTATCAGTAGTGACAATAATCCTTTCATTTCCAAAATGGGGCGAAACGACCAAGTGCCAGAGTCTGAAAACATTGCTAGTTGTCCCACATCTCTTACTTCTCCTCCTCCTTTTGCTGCAGAGCTTTCCAATGGCAAGAACCCCTTTGCCCCTGCGTGGGGCAGGGCTCCTGCAGCCCTGGATCCCGAGGGTGATGCCACTTCCCCTTCATCCCATCGTCTTGCGGCCTCTGTTCCCAAAGCGCCTCTTCCTGGGCAGGTCTCTGGCAGTGTTAATAATCCTTTTGCTTCCGAGTGGGGCCAGGGTCCTGCAGGCTCTGCTGCGTGGGCTTCCCGGGGTCTCTCTTGCCCACCCGCACCTTCTTCCCGCTCCGATTGTCATTTTAATGACAATAATCCCTTTGCATCCAGGCGTGGGTGGGAAGCGGATGCGCCAGATTGCAAAGCTGTTGCTAGTTCTTCCCCGTTCTGCCTGCCCTGTGGTGATGACCACTCCTCAGCAGAGCACCCTGCTGAGCTGAAACGCGCTGGTCGTGATGCTTTGGGAGGCTCCTCGGATGTGGCTGCAACTAGTGATGCCAAAGCTGTGCCAAACCCTCTCAGCACCCTTCCTGACAGCCCCGCTCTGGCTCCAGAGCAGCAGCACAGTTCTCCCCAGCTTCAGGTCCAGAATTCTTTGGAAAGGAGTAAGTTAGGCAACGGGAAATCCGTGTCTGTTCTCCTTGGTGGACTGGAGGGGTTGGGCGGTGAGGATTTGGGTGGGCAGGAGCGCGGCAAGCAGCACCCTGATCTCAGTGAGGGGTTCTTGCCGGGGTCAGGTGCAGCAGGAGGGCGAGCAGGGCCTGCTCACGAGCTGGGATCAGGGTTCTCCCCATTGTCACAGCTCTCTGGTGACAGCACAGGGCCGGTGGCTGCTCGGGGTGGCGTGGAAGCAGGCGGTGTAAATACTCAGTCCTGCGCAAAGGGCAGCAAACACTTTGCTTCTCTCTCAAAGTGTAACAAGAGTCTCTTGCCAGTGATCGGTGCCGAGCAGCCGCCTTCCCCTGAGAGGGAGCTGGAAGTGGAGCAGGAAATCCTTGGTGAAAAGAGACAAGAAGAATGTGCACCCGTATTAGAGTGCCAGGCAGATCTGCTTGGTAGAAGTGACTCATTTTCCCAAGCAGGACCCATCCACCCGACGTTGGGAGCTTGCACGCTGCCCCCTCAGGAAGGTGGCGTGGGGAGGGCTGGCAGTGAGCTGTTGGTCACTCCAAGGCCAGCTCCACGGCTGTGTAAGAGGTGCCCACCTGTTTCTCCAGCTGAGGAGTTCAGTGGTGCTGAGCCTGCTGCAGGCAGTGGTGTCAAACCTGTGCCTGGGCTCCCGATCCCTGATGGCAAACACTCAGATGCTCCCGGGTGCCGCCTGCCAAGTGGCTCCTTAGAGACTGTCACTCCGCCAGTGCTTGGAGATTATATTAGGCATCTGAAAAACGAAGGTGATGACGATTTCTTGGACTGTCTGACAAATCTGAAGTCTGCTCTTCCAGTTGCTGGAGAGCGTGGTTTGAAGCTGGCCAGCCTGCCGGTGATCCCCGAGGGCGGCTCTGACGACGAGCTGCTGGGTGACTGTCAGGAGACGCACAGTGTCGCTGCGGGAGATAAGAACGTTTCAGAGACTGGGAAGCAGGCGCTGGGTTCAATGCCTTTGCCTGAAGAACTGAAAGAGCACTGGGATGGCTCTGCTGCCTGTGTGACCCCAGGCGCTCCAGGGGAAGGAGGAGGAGGAGGAAGTGCTCCTGGTACTTGTAAGCCAAGCAAACCCCCCTTGCTGCCTGCCAGAGTAGGTGTTCTCGGTGTCAATAACCAGGCAGGTGACTCAGGCTTAGGTAGGATGTCTTGTTCGAGGGAGAGCAATAGTAGTTTTGAGAAACAAGAGCTGAAACCAAGTGCAGATGTTGAGGAGCGTGCAGAGTGTGACTTCTCCGAGCCTTCTGTTTCTTCTTCCTCCCTGTCAAGTCCTTCCCAGCCCTACTCTTCCTCTCATTCTCTCCCCTCTGGCGCCCCAAGTCGTAGAGCAGAGTCTCCGAAAAAGCCAACAGCCGAGGGCTTCGCAGATAAAGCAGGAAATTCTGGCAAGAAGAAGCTTCTTCAGGCATGGGTTTCACCCTCTGAAACATACCCTAACCAAACTCAGCAGAGTGGTGAAACCGTGTCTCCTAAGCACAGGTGAGAGAAAATGGGAAATAACGCAGAAAATATCTCGGTGCTGCTGTGAGCTTTGCTTTTTCTCTCTGTGAGCACAGATTTGCCTCTCCAGCTGCAGGAACTGACTGTGCTTTGCAGTGACATGGTGTCCTTCAGCCTGAACTTCCCCCGGCCCCTGGGTTTGTCGGGTCCTGGGTCCTGTCATGCCAACCTAGGGTCGTTGCTGGCACCAGATACATCTGAATTAAGGATGCCCAGAGCTCTGGGCTCAGAGCACTTTTTGGCAGCTTATGGCACAAGTTCAGATCGCAAAAGACTTCATACGTGTTTGTCCCGGGAGAGCAGAAATATTTGATACGTTGCAAGAACCACAGCTGTGTTCTCGTTAGAAAAGTCAGGCTCCGGTACCAGCACATGAGAGAGGAACAGCCACCGTGCTCTGCGTGTAGAGCTCTGTCTCATGTAGAGCGACCCGGCTGTTTTGGGACATGCTGGTCAGGGTGTGTTTCCCTTGTTACTGCTTCTTTATCTCCGATGCTGTAAGTCAGTAAAGACAGGAGAAAGAACTGGAGTGTACTTACAAAAAGCCTATAGCTTAGACAGAAATGCCTTGTCTTCCTCAAGCTGAATCTCTTCTCTCTCTGGAGATAGAGAAGGGGAGGAATTTTCCTCAATTTCTCGCTGTATTTGCTTTTAGTCTGATGATCTGCGTAGGGCAGGTGTTGCACATGCTGCCTAAATAACACGAGCCTGGTTTAATGTTCCAGACTCCATCCCGTGAAGCCAATGAATGCCACAGCAAACAAGTCTCAAAGTAAAAACCTGGATGTCATCAGCACTGTGAACGAGAAGCTGCTCGAGGTGAACATGAAGGTAAGGAGAGGAGAGGCGCTTTGAAGCAAAGACTCAGCAGTAGATTGAAGAGTCTGTGTATTCGCGATAGGAGATGTGAGCAAACTGCGTGCTGAGTAGAAAAGGAATCGTGGTTGTTATACCCTGGGGACATGAACTTTCCTTCTGTCAGATCCCAAAGGTGGGGACAGTGACCTCAGGGCAGCGTTGCTGTGCATCTTCTGTAATTGCTCAGATTTAAAGGAGTTTTTTTGTGTAACTTTGGCCTCGAAAGAGACCTCCAGGCCTCGGGTGTAGCTTAAAAGTCACATTGATGAGGCTGGCTAGAAGCGTCTCCGGGGCAGCAGGAAAAATCACTGGGTACCATTACTGTCTCTAAAGGTGTCTTGGGGAAAATGAAAAATTACCACCAAAATAGCTGCAGTGCCTCCTTCTGGTGAAAGTGGAAAAGAAGAAGACACGAGTTAAATGATTCAAACATAAATGATGGTGGTTGCTGACGCAGGGCTGTAACTTCCGCGTGTCTTTGCCAAGCCAGGTGGGCTGCTGCCTGGAGCCAGCGTGATGTTGTTTCGGTGTAAAGTGGAGAAGTTGAACTACAGAACTGACGTTAGGCCAGGATTTTATGCTAAAACCTGGTTATGGTCCGTAACAGCTCTCTCACTCCCGGCCCACCTTCTGTGCTGGAGGAGGCTGCCTAAGCCCCATAAATTGCGTCCCCATGCCATAAGCAGCATGAGCTTAGTCCTCTTTTTTTCCTTCAAATACAGTGAAAAAGCTATTCTGCCTCCCGGAAGCGAGCAGTCAGACTCCTGAGGAGCAGCCGCGGTGCTGCAAACGCTGCGAGTGGTTTGTTGGTGTTTTAAATGCCCCAGGCCAGCTCCCAGGTATCGCGCTGTTGCCGTTCTGCCGTGCCCGTATGTCGGTAGTGACGTTGCCTTTCTTCTCTCTCTCAGAAATACGATCCTTCGGATCCTGCCTACGCTTATGCTCAGCTCACGCACGATGAGCTGATCCAGCTGGTGTTGAAGCAGAAGGATACGATTACAAGGAAGGATCTCCAGGTGCGCGAGCTCGAGGACTACATCGATAACTTGCTTGTCAGAGTCATGGAGGAAACCCCAAACATTCTCCGCGTTTCAGCGTCTGGAAACAAAAAGGCTGGGAAGATGTGAAAGCTCTCGGGACGCTGGTGGAACAAAGGGCTGAATTCCCGCCAGGGGAGTTTGGTTAATAAGGAGATGATGTGAAGTGGGTGGGACTGGCCCTGCTGCCCACGGAAAACAACCTCTTCCCTCTTTCTGCGTTGAGCAACTCGCGCTTTGATTCGTGGTTACGTCAGGTCTTGTATGCGGAGTCCAGCAGTGGAGCCAACTTACCCTATTTATTTTTTGGTTTCTTTCCATTACTTGGGAAGATCTGTTCAGGCATCTAACCCAAAGGCTGGTCGTGGTAGGAAGGGTGAAGGGCTTTTGATGTGTTTTGCTTGCCAGCAAGGCACTGATGACCCTTGATGAAGATTTTTTTTTTAAGTGGTTTTAATTCGTAGTGGCTTTGATAGATCCGTTACTCTTCTTTGCATATCTTAAGTTGTAGTGCAATATAAAATCCTGTATAGTAGAGTTTGAGAGTTTTATTGTTTTTATTAAAAAATAGTAATAACTACACTGGAGAAATCCAAAGATTTGTGCTCCACACAGGGGTTGTGTGTGTTTTAAAAGCTGTTGGTTGAATGCCAGTTGAACCTTAGATTGGAAAGGAAGAAGCAAAGCTTAGTAACCTCCTAAGGTATGTGTGGTTTCAAAGCCGTTCCCTGGGGAGGGTTTACAGGCTTTTTTTGGGATAGGAAACAGCGAGATGTCACGGTACGTTTGTCCGCCATAGGAATGGTAGCGATGAATTTGGGCCAAGGGTGCGTTTTAAATCGGAAGCTGCTCTCTTACAGACTTGAAATTCCTGATTCGAAAGTCGTTCAAATGAGGGAGGCAAAGGTACGCCTGGTTTCTGTTCTGGAGTCTTAAGTAGCTGTGGAGCTTTGTGACTTGCTGCTCCGAATGGAGTGGAGAAGGTACGTGGCTGAGAAAGTGCTGGTCTAGTTACACTCGATACCTCTCGGTCTGCTTCCTTGGCGTGTGCCTGCTTTGCAGCTCAACAGGGCAGGTATGTTCTCTGCCCTGTCTCCTGTGACACAGAAACTACATCTAAAAACTAAAAAAACCCCGAAAAACTAAATGTGAGGTTTTTTTGAGGGAGCTCTTGTCTCAGACTTAGAAAAGCCAGATGCCTCTTTGCATCCCTGGGATGGGTCAGGGTTGCGGGAGTCTGTGAAAGGCTTAGGAGAAAGCTGGAATACCAAGAGGGTGGCAGCAGTGGACCAGAGCAAACACTCCTTCCTTCAGAAGCTGGCAGGATCTGGTGGCTCACTCCTGGCTCAGCTCAGAAGGGCTGAGTCTCTAGCTCAGTTTTTCTACAGCAAAGCACTTTATTGTGAGACTAGACCAGCTGGATCGACTATCAACCTGTTAGTAGTCTGCTTACTGTTTTCACAGAACACTGAAAACTGCTGGAGACACCTCAAATGCTGTATTTTTCTAGTGAAGAGTAGTTTAATATATTTGTCTAGAGATGTATACATTTATTGGAAAATTCAGAAAATGCTGTCAATCACATTTTTGTTGCTGTAAACTGACTAACTACCAAAATCCAGAGCTTCTCTGACAGAGCTGTCCTTCACGGGAAGCTTAAGCTGAAATGAGCCTTAAGCATTAAGAGTCTTCTAAGACTTCAGGTACAGTTTTTCTAACTTTATTTTTATTTGAGCAGCTTTCTTCAGGGAAGGGGTTCTTTCTTTCCTACTGTGCCCTCTTCTGTGAATAGAGGGTCTGAATCACAGAAGGTCTTGGCGGCATCTCCAGCTCTTGGCTGGTGGTTGACTTTGCGTGGTGCTGCTTGGCTTTCCTGAAACCTGCTGCAGCTTCTCGTGCCTTGAACTGGTGAGGAAGGTGAAGGATTGATTTGTTGCCTCTTTGTACCTCTGTGGGTCTCTGGAGAGAAAAACGGTTGCGTGTACCTCACTAATGGACTCGTCTTCTAGACTTTATTCCAAAGCTTTCCGATGTTCTGGGTCAGAGTTGGAAAAGCCGGTCGTGCCTTTCAGTGGTGGCTTAATGGTGTTACTGGTCGTTGTAACTGGAGCCCTGGGGAGCGAGACTGGGCTCCTGCTTTCTGCTCATTTTTGAACGATGTGGGTCCTTGTAACACCCTCTCCTGGCAGCTGTTCTTGCTGGTTGCAGCCAGTGGAGGTGGAGCCAGGCTGAGTCTGGCTTTTGCCCCCAGGGTTGTTCTCTCCGGCGGGGGCAGGTGCGGAGCCTCTGGCCGGGGTGACCTCCTGCACCAGCCACGAGGGGATCACACGAACCTCGCACCAGCCACGAGGGCATCACACGAACCTCGTACCTCACTCTTGGTGGCAATACTAGTTACAGCCTTTCTTGGGTGTGTTATGTCCAGCAAGGCGCTTCGCCTTGACTTTAAGGGCCTTAAGGATCAAATGTATTGTTTTATTATTGAAGGATCTGAATGTATTCTTCCCTGTTTGTACTGTCTGCTTCTAGCTTTTATTTGTTTTTAAATGCCTTTTGGTTTCATGGAACACTAAAATAAAAATACCTTAAATCCAGTGTTCTCCACCCTTTGCCTTTTTTCTGAAAGAGCGGTGTCAAAAGGGCCTCATCCCCTCCTGGTGACCAGCCCTGTGCCTCAGACTCCTCATCCTCGAGGTATTTTTGGGCCAGTTCCATCGCTGCGAGCTATCGGTGCCGGAAGTTGGTGGTAAACACTTTGCGGGGTGGGGAAACCTGATGGACCAGCTCATCCGCATCACGAGAATTGAGAGTTTCTGTGAAGGTGCAACAAAAAATAAAACCCAAAGATCTGTGCGGAAGGGGAGTTCCCTCAGCCTGGTT